CTTAGACACGATTAAAACTCCTTTGCTAACCTAATATTCACGCGATATAAATATCAAAAAAGGTCCAGAAATGAGGGGAACGCATTGGGAGGCAGAAAAACACTTTTTGAAGAGGATTTGGAGCGCAAGAACGAAGATTAGCATGTAGAATTTCAAGATTTCTTCAAGCTTTTATAATCCGGTGATGCTTATTACTCAAAACCTGATGTATTTTGTTATTTTAATCATGCTAAGCTAGATTTTCATGTGTTAGGAGATCGATGAACCATGTAATTTGAATTTTAATATCCTAGTTTTGCAATTTGACATTAAGACACATTTTTATTGTTTTAAATTATTTATATGTAATTAATGTTTTTGCAATTAAGGGCTCGTAATTGTGTGAATTTAGGTAATTTATTTTTACATTTGAGAGAATTGGAATAGATTTGACATAATATAGATCATCGTAGGGTCCGATAGAGAATAGAAGTATACCGCTATGCCCTACGTGAATCTTTAATAGTTCATGACATCGCATGCATTTTTACATATGCTCTTATCATAGAAATATAGGTCGGTGGTATGTAGAAATAGGTTCGATACATCTCGAAAGAGAGTATTGGATGGACTTAGGAACATTGATTCATCACAATTGAGGTGTGTTGTCATATTGTGAAATTAGGGTTTAAAGTGATAATTGTATGAGAAATCGTGATCCTAGTGTGTTTAATTTCTATTGATTAAAACAACGTGCGTATTCTAGAGTGTTAAAATATTGTTTTGAGTCTTAATTTCAATTCACTCATTAAATTTGCGCAATTAGGGATTCTTTTTAAAATTAGGGTTTTACTTAGGTTCACATCCACTTTGGCAATCCAGTTTCGATTAAGGCTACGTTAGATAAAATTTGAACTAATCAATTTCTGTGGGACAATATTCGGACTCATTGAATCCACTTTATTACTTGTTAACGAACCGTACACTTGCTATAGTTTAAAATCGAAAGAAAATATTTCGTGAATACTACAAAGTGTTAAACAATGTCACCCCAACATGAAAGTTTAATTTCCAATTTTGTCGATGTTCATGCATTCCAACTATTGTCCTCGAGTCTTGTTAACTTTTACTTTTTATCTCTTCTTTCTTTAAATGACGTGAATTTGCATATGAAAAATGAATTTACTAAACAATCATGCTAAAAGTATAGACTTTTTGACAAAAACTTTTAACAAGCATCACTTGACTTGACGTGGTATAGTTGGAAGATGGTGAAAAGAAAGTAAAAATTAAACTAGAGCAGGTATTTAAAAGTCACACTCCAAAAATCACATATAAAATATAATAAAAAATCAGGTGACAATAACCACATCCCTAACCCAATTAAACTCTCAAACCCTAAGGGTGCGTTCTCTTTGTTGTTTTCGGAACGTTTTTTATTTTCGATTTTTCAAAACAGTGAAAACGCGTTTTTGAAAAAAAAAAAAAAAATTGTACTGAAAACACAAAACAACCAAAATGTCGTTTTGGCTATTTTCTGTACAAAACTCGAAAAAAATACAAAACACGAAAAACACATTTTGAAACACAATCAAATCTCGTCACTTTCTTCCAACCATTCTCTACCTTTTCTCTCTACTGGACACAATAATCGACGCCGACTATAGATGGTCGCACACTTCAACCGACGACGAAAGAGATACGCCGGTGCCGACGCTAGCTTGGGGACGTGACGCTACTGTGAAAGCAGTGTGGCGACCCATTCATTGCGACCCAGGGGAGGCGACGCTGCTGTGGTTTGGGCCCATCTCTACCGGAGGTCGAAGAGAGAGTGGTAGCAGTTCATCGTGATGGGGATCTGATGGCGATGGGTCGCCTGCAAATTTGTCCAGAATTTGCCTTCTCTCTCTTTTGGGGGTTTTTTTGTTTTTTGGATCTGAGAAGGTGTTGATGGTGGCGGCGACGTGAATGTAATTATTTGTTTGTGGTGACATTGGTTGATGTTGGTGGTGGGTGGTGTTGATTTTGGTTGATTTTGGCAGTGGTGAGTGGTTCAGGGTGGCGGCAGTGGTATTGATTTTGGTCAATGGTAATGGCGGTGGTTGTCTTTGCTGTGGGTGGTTGACGGTGGTGGTGGGTATTGTTGATTTTGGTTGATTTTGGCAGTGGTGAGTGATTCAAGGTGGCGGCAGTGGTTGATGGTTGGTGGCGGCAGTGGTGTTGGTTTTGGTCGATGGTAATGGCGGTGGTTATCTCTGCCGGCGGTGGTTGATGGTGGTGGATTTGGTGATTTTCCAAAATTTCAAAGAATTTCATAGTGAACATGTTTTCCATTTTTTTGTTTTCAGAAACATTTTTCAAAATTTGAAAGAGAACGTATTTTCAATCATTTCAAAATACACACTCAAAACACAAAACTCAAAATGAATTCAAAATTCAAAACTACAAAACTAAAACACGAAGAGAACACACCCTAATTCTTCTCACTTTATCCCTCTTTCTCTTCCACCAATCGGAAACGCTGTTGTCGTCGTGCCAATCTTTCTACCATGACTTGCGCCACTGCTCAATGAAGCTGTTATAGGAAGCATGGCATTTGAAAGTGGAGACCAAGTATCAGTGATGGAGCTCCGACGAGAAGGAAGTGGCAATGTTGGCGACAGACTAATCCAAATCGAAAAGTCGTTCACGAAGATAAGAAGCACAGATGTCGTTCCGCTGCCGTGCCCAATCTCTTTTCCTATGACTTGCGCCGCTGCTCGGTAAAGCTGCTATAGGAAGCTTGGTATTTGGAAGTGGAGATCGAGTGGCAACGATGGAGCTCTTGCAAGAAGGAAGTGGCAATGTCGATGACGTGAGAATCTAGACCAGCTAAAACAAATGTGCTTGTTCACATTTATCTCTCACCCTCTAAAGCTACAAAAGAAATAATCTCGAACAATATGTTACGAAGACAGACGTAGTGCTATTTTTGTCAATATCATAAAACTTACTTTTCTATCTGCGCTTGTTTTAGCCATTTATTACGAGGAAACAATGGAAGATGGCCGGTTGATTACGGTGAAACGGATCAACCAATAGAAACACAGGCCCACAAAATGAACACGGAAGACATGGCGGCCGCCGCTGCTACCGACGTCGCGGTGGTGGAGTTGCCGCAGCCACATATAATTTCGAGAAAGCTGTATGCAGCCATGGGCTATTCTTGATGGCCCCTAACCATTGGGATCCACAGTCCAAGACTCTCCAGCGGCTCCTCCGCCTCAATCTCAATCCCCATCACGAGGACCATGAAGCTTCACTCATGGTGCAAATCTCTCACCCTATTCACTCTCCTCACGCGCTTCGACTCTACGTGTTTGACACCAGCTCTCTCTCCCCTCAACACCAACACTCCCTGTTGGTAGGCAAATTTTTTTTCCCTGTACTTAATGTTCTTGAAAGGTTTGATTCTTAATGCATGGTGTTGTGCTTGACGTTGATACTTTTGGGTTTGGCTTCTTTTTCCACTTCTTAAGTTCTTGAAGAGCATGCAGAATTTTTTGTCCGGGTACAATTTTGGTCAATAATGTACTGCACCAACCAATAAGTAATACAAATTGTTCATTGGAATGAAATTTTGATTTAAATGAAATAACAACCAGTTTGTAAAAACAATTTAAATAGTGGAAGAAGTTAATTAGAATAGTCCCTCCATTTATCGTTTTGATCTAAACTGATAATCCAATGAATATCATTCTTTCTTTATGTTCACTTAATATGCATTGAATATATCAATTGAAATTATTTATTATAGATACTTATTATATCCCTCATTTACATTCTCTGTATCTTAACATTCATTGAGCCCTGTTTTCTGAGGGAATGTATTTTGTAATGTGATTTTTTTGGAGAATGTGTAGTTAAAAAGTGAGGGGAAATATTTTGGATTTACGTATAGATTATTTTATTAGGAGAATGTGTGTTTAAAAATGATTTTTTGAATAATGGGGCTAAAAAACAGGGGCTGAATAAATCAAATAGAAGAAAACTATAAAAATATTGATCTTTTGTTTCAAAAATATTTTAATGAATTTAGTTTACTATCCAGTCAAGTGCAATAAATCTATCAAATGTACATTGATCATAACTAAATAATTCATAATAATATTGTTCAAATAATTAAATAAATCAAATACATATTGAAAAATGAAAAGGTAACGAATCTGTCAAATATGGTTAAATAATTAAATACATATTGAAAAATAAAAAGTAAGATAATGAATGTGTCAAATGTACATTCATCATAACTAAATAATTGACAAAATAATTAATGATAATATTTTTCAAATGGTTCAAATGATTAATAAATTAAATACATATTGAAAACGAAAAGTAGGGTATTATTGAAATAATTAAATACATATCAGAAAACGAAAAGTAAGGCGTTATTGAAATAATTGTATTCTAGTAAGAATTGAATTGTTCAAAAAATTTTCTCAATTGATGTGATATTTAATATATTATAGATTTAATTGGGTTAGTAATTGTAGGATCAAGTGAGGAGAATGTTGAGATTATCGGACGAAGGGAATCAGAGGATAAGGAATTTTAAAGAAGTCCACGAGGAAGCAAAAAACAGGGGGTTCAGAAGGGTTTTCATGTCGCCAACGTTGTTTGAGGACATGATTAAATGCATTCTCCTTTGCAATTGCCAGTGAGTGAGTTTTACTTTTTGTTCAAGAATATGGTCGGCCTTTGCTAATTGTGCCTTTGCCCAACTATTCTATGCTGGTTATAGTTCCCAAATGAAAAGAAGGAAATTAGTTAATAAGGGAAATCAAGTTCTATAACTTTTAGTGCAGAAAATATTGAATTAAGCATGCAGGGTTAAAAAATGTCACCAGGCCATATGATCTTGGGTACTTGTATATCTTTGTTTCGACTATGATCTATGAACTTCAGGCTACTAAAATCTCAATGTAAATAAGTTGGCGGTAACATATGCTTCGTATAATTATGTCGAACTTTTCATCTAGAAATGATGAATGAGACCAATCTTCCACTTTTAGATTACAAGATTCTCCTATTGGCTTCTTGTCATTCCGATACAAGTATAATTATCATTTTCTCCTCTGCGGGAAGATAAAAATTATATCTTGGCAAATGTACAGCCTAGTACAACCCGTAAATGAGGGAGTCTAATTAGTAATTAGATTTTTCTCGAGATCTCTGAATTCGAAACAAGAGCGAGTTCTATTGGCTTCTTGTCATTCCGATACAAGTATAATTATCATTTTCTCCTCTGCGGGAAGATAAAAATTATATCTTGGCAAATGTACAGCCTAGTACAACCCGTAAATGAGGGAGTCTAATTAGTAATTAGATTTTTCTCGAGATCTCTGAATTCGAAACAAGAGCGAGTTCTATTGGCTTCTTGTCATTCCGATACAAGTATAATTATCATTTTCTCCTCTGCGGGAAGATAAAAATTATATCTTGGCAAATGTACAGCCTAGTACAATCTGGTATAGTGTACGAAATATGCCTGGTTTGTGTAGTTTGCATTTGTTGTAGTCAACATGGTTGCCATTTAGCAATGATCTGCAATGATCGTCCCTCTGAAAATTGGTCTTAAATGTGGAAGTCTTAAGTAAGAAGTTAATAGAAAGTATTTACTCTACTTTTGTATTAGTTGAGCTTCTCTTTTGCAGGTGGTCAAGGACACTGAGTATGGCTAAAGCACTTTGTGGACTTCAGTTGGAACTACAGCTTCCCTTGTCTAATGATTCTCTTGCGAACGTTGCTAATGAAACTATTTTCGGGTGTCAAACAGTTGAAACCAATCAGTTCGTTCCAAAAACACCTGCAGGGAAACAGTAAAAGAAAAACCCTGGAGTTCGCAAATGTTCAATCAATTTAGCGAACAGTTAAGCAGAAGTTAAAGCAACAGAAGAAAATGCTAACTTGGAAGAAAGTTGCGTTCAAATGCCAGACTGTTTCCAGGTAACATGGAATCTTAGTGCATGTTTGGTTAAGCTCAAAGACTACTCTTCTGAGAAGCAAATTTTTTTTTGTTAGTAAAAAGTAACTTCTAAGATTATGTTTGGTTTAAAAAAAAAAAAAAAAATTGATAAGCATAGAGCTAGTTTTACTTATTTTTAAGCCTAGCCAAAAAGAGGATTTTATAAGGATTTGTTAAGCATTGTGATTAGTATCAAACATCCTATTGCTATAAAGCTGATTGCTGTTGTTCTCTTGATTTTCAGCCTTTAGAAGGGAAAGGATTTTCCTCCTGCAGTAAATTTGGAAATTTCCTGAGCCCAAGAGAACTGGCTACCCTCAACGAGGAGCTTTTAGCAAAACGGTGCCATCTAGGCTATAGAGCAGGTCGTATTTTGAAGCTTGCTTGAGAAATAGTTGAGGGTAGGATTCGACTAAGAGAACTTGAAGACGTCGTTGGTACTCTAAGCTTGTCTGAGTATGATAAGTTGGCAGAGAGAAGCTAAAAGTTATAGATGGATTTGGATCGTTTACTTGTGCTAATGTTCTGATGTGCATGGGATTTTATCACGTCATTCTAACTGATTCAGAAACTATTAGGCATCTAAAACAGATCTATTTCTTTTCTATGAAATCAAACCTTTTACCATATAGTTCATTCATTCCCATCTTCCTAAAGTTATGCTTTAAGTCCTCTGTCTATAATCAGGTTCATGCCAAAAGCTCAATAATTCGGACAGTTCAAAGAGATGTTGAAAGTGATTTATGGGAAATATGCACCATTTCAGTTTCTAGCTTATTGGTAAGTTGTTTATAGATTTATCTGTTTCAAGCCTTTTCTTCTACAGTTTGGACATTCTTTTGAACAGGTCAGAAGTGTGGCAGTTCTATGAGAAATGGTTTGGAAAGCTAAGTGAGAGGCCCCCTTCTGGTTATAAACTTATTACTGCTGCTAATATGAAGACAAAAAGAAATGGAAAAATAAGAGGATTAAGGTATCATTGAAAAATAGTTAATAATAAAAACAAAGTGAAGTATGATTTATGCTCTTTTGTATCAGTGCATACCTACCATTTGCATCCTGTAAACAAGATTTAGTGTGATAATTGTTCTTTTCCTCTTATTGAAGTTATCTTTTTTGAGGTTTTTATGTTTCATATCTGAAAATGTTGTTGAGGGTATATTTATGATCAATCAATTTCCTCACTTGTATCTGCAAAGGCTGATTCTCAGATAAAGCTGTCCAATTTCCTCCCTTATATCTGTAAATGATGTTTATATCTCTTGAAAATGAAAAATCAGAGAATCTCCATCGATAATCTGTCTAACATTTTCTCCTTGCAACTACTATTTTGCCGATATTTCACAAATTTTCTGAAATTAAGTAGCAACAATCAGTGGTCATCACTCAAGAGAGTAGCATTCATCAATGTGATTTGATTTGTTCATGTTCGCATCTATGTGGTGCAGATGTGAATTCCAAACTCATAATCATTGATTTTAACCTTCATGTCTTGAAGCATATATAAAAAATCTAGTGAATTCGGGGTCATCCTGTCTTTTATTATTGTCAATGATATGTCACATCCCCAGAAAATGTTCAACAAACTAGGCCAAAAGATCGAGAGTTCTTCCCATACTTTCATTGTTTTGAGTTGTTTAATGGTTAAAGTTCTAACCATATATTGCCACTTTCAGACATCGACAATATGGTTAAATCTTCCATTCGTTGAAAACTTGCTAGCAAAATGTATTTCATTATTTGCTTGAACCTCCACGATATACGCCATTGACCGTCTTATAAAGGACTAGACGTCATCGCACTTATGTGAAGGAAAAAAATAATAAAAGTGAAATAGCATACAACTTTTCATTCTGAAACCACATGATGTATATAGGACAATGCATCTTATTCTTGAAACTAAACAGTAACATATATTTCACATAAAGCATCTTTCAACACTTAAATAATACTCCAGTAGCACTATAAGTGCATGTGAATTACTAATGAACAATGTATTATAGCTTATTTCTTTCCTTAATATTCTGGTCACCCTTTCTGCTCTGCCAGCTTAATGAAATTGTGCTCCATCCTAGAATTCTGACACAACTAAGTGCTAGTTTCGAACAAAACAACATAACAAGAATCAAAAGAGCAAGTCTTTCGAGATTTTAAGAAGAAGAAAAGTAATGCTAAACGATAAGCTATTATAATCAAGAAGACAACATGAAATGAGTAAAAGGATGGGATCTGTTTCGCTAGAATTGAATATCTTATAATTAGTTAGTTAATCAAAACATGATAGTTGCTGAAGGTAAAGAACGTGGTAAAGGTATTTACGCTAATGTTTTACCTCAGGCTCTAGCCTCTGGTGGCGTATCAGGCTGCTTTCCTGGCATAGCATCTTGAAAAGCAGGGAGTTCTTTGTACGCCTCGTTAATCCTTGATAGGATAGGATATTCACTCTGCCCACATATTGAGGTTCAACTTATCAATGGTAAATTATCCTATACAAATACAGATGTGTTCGTAAATGCACCTACATTTAGGAATTAAATGAATGAGGCCAGGTTAAACAGGTCTACTGTGCAGTCCTTCAGAAAAGAAACACGTATACTGAAATTGTAGTTGTCAAAAATCCACAAAATATATGATGCAGATGAAAAGACTGAAAGCCTAATTAGGAAAAATTCACTCCCCCCAAAAGGAAGCTGACTGAATTATAGCTTTTGTTTTATGATAACTCTATGAACATGAAACAGTGCTGCACGAACCTGGGGACCATTCAATTTGATGAACTTGAAAGAAAAGCAGATAAATGGCATACAACTGATCAAAATTTCTCTAAGAAAATGGAATTTTTAAAGTGTTTTAATTGCATGATTACTTCAAGAAGTATAAAGTTCCTTATATATATGATAGGATTTCAATGAAGGGCCTACCATGTCAACATTGAATCTTCTGACTGCACCATCAATCTGGGGTGCCAGAAACAAATCAGCCTGCAAGTTTATAGCCCATGAATAAAAAACCCCCAAAATACTCTTAATCTATACGTATAAATCCAATGTATGCAAGGTGATACTGCAATTATATCATAATTAGATTATATTTAACTTGTCAAATTAGACTAATTTACATTTGCTCATGGCCTGGTATTGTAGGACGTTTGAGGATGAAATAAAGTGACAATTACGAACTTGGATTCATCATCAGTAATTGGTACAAATTTGGACCTGGCCAGACCATTAACCTGATAAGTTGCAATTTGTAATTCAAGCATGAAAACATGCACCGGTAATAAGCACATTATGTACGAGGAAAGAAACAAACCAGGAAAACTTCATTCCCCGTGGCATATTTTCCAGCATAATTTTCTAATAGCTTCTCCAGAGCTGCAGATTCAATTGGAATCAGAAAAGTGGAATGTGATTTGAGGGGGAAAAAATAGAACTGTAGCAGCACAAATCAAATTGTTACTAGAATATTCAGATGATAACCATATTTAGCATTTTAACCTATTTCTAGAGTAGGTGGCACAAGCACAACTTACAACTGAAATTGATATTAGATTCACCAGTGATTTTTCAACTCAAACACTTATTTCCCTGTCAGACTAAGCAAACTGCTTCTCTCGTTTTTTTACCCTTTACTGACACGGATGATGGAAGGCCTAATACCACTCACAAATTAACCACTTCTTCCAAACTTGAGTGAAGAATAATTACTGTGTCATGCTGGCAGAACGTGTCATCAGTCAATTCTACAAGTATGACTTGTCCAAGTTACATGTGCTAATCAACTTGAGCATTAATTCCATGTATAAACATAATATTTCAAAAATAGCACAAAATTTCAACAATTAAAGAATGCAGAGTCAAAGGAGTAATCATGGTTTCGATTGATCAAATAGAACTAGTACAACTGAAATGCTCTTAGGCAAGGCCATACATAACAACTTAGGGTTGAATAGAACTCCCGAACCGAACCGAACCATTCTTCTTAAATTAAATACCTGAACAGGTATGTGAATTGTGAACTGACAGGGTATGGTTCAGTTCTCGATCGAAGAACCGAATAAAAATTGAATCTTCCTAAGTTTTTAAACTTTTTTATATTTAATAAATCATATTATTTTAATTTTTTCTAAACAAATTAACTAATTAGAAAATTAATGCTCCATCTTCCAACCCCATGCCTAGCTAGCGTGACCCAACCCAACCAATTTCTAAATCCAATTTTTTGTTTTAAGTTTTCGGCCCAATTATTTGTTTCATTTTTAATTCTTTAGCCCAACATCAAACCCTTTTTAGACTTCGTTAATTTGTAAAAGCTATAATTGAACAATTTATTAATTGTATTTATATAGTGTTGTTGTAAATGTTAAAAAATGTAGCTATAGTACGAAATTGATTGTAAAAGAGAGAAATTGGTTACATTAAAATAACTTTCCAAGGAGGTTTGTTTGATATCCAATAATTGCTTAGTTTGAAGAGAGAGAATTGAGTCCATCTGATAATTCATTCAACTTGACTTAATTTTTAATCAGCAATGAATCTAAAGCTATAATGGTGTCATAAAACAGCTGGTGTCTCCATAGTAACAACTCTTTGGATGCTAAAAATTGAAAGACTAACTGGATTATACACAAATTAACTATTTACATTATTAAGAATTAATTTATTTTGCCACAGCAGATCATGTTTATTCTAGAATAACACAAATTCAGCAGCCACCGGCAGGTAGGATATAATCATAGTGGTGTACAGAGAGATGACCACATCAGGGTGATGCAAATGTATAGAATATGAGAGTTGAAAAACTCAATGAAATAAGATTTTATGCAAGGCATATTATAGAAAACAGCATAATTTCTTAATATATTTTGTCTAATGGGCTGAGGAAATCAATTGCTCAAAGTCAATTGTGCTTCACCTGCAGTACATGATATGAATTTAAATCAAAACATTAAATAAGATCAATGCAGGAAGTAGACACGGAACCCTGGTGTCAGAAATTACTTTAACTTGATAAAATTTGGCATGTAAGCGATGATAAAAACAATTGACATTTCTACCATAAGTTGAAGAATTACTTAAACTATTTATTGATACTGTCATAGAAGTATCAATGAAAGGACATATAAGTTTTTATCAGTGCGAATGTTGGGGTACATATTAGTGATTCCATCAGAGTTTGGTGATTCATAGAAGAAATCCTTGACACAAGTGGCCAGTCTATGTCATTCAGAGGAAAGACATCAATATTAAGAGCCAGCCAACTATTAAAACTGATGGAAAGCGAAATAAGAAACCCCAACACAAGGATATTCAAAACGCATTATTTGACAGAGAAACTACTTCCAGAAAAATATTGGAAAACGAAGTTGCATATCTACATAAGATGTAATTAACCCATGTGTCTGGAATGCATAAAAAAGACCTTCATTGAAGGAATTTTTTTTTTTTTTTAGTTAACGTCAAAAGCCTTAAACTACCATATGAATCTAATTAATGCTTCATTTCAAAATTTTTTTTCCAATTGATCCTTCATCATGTCATTCTGAATAGGACCTAATGCAGCGGAGGAATGTACAGCCCACGTACTGTTATCCATTAATTATAAATCAGACAATCACCTATCCTATCTTGCACTAGTTACTATTAGAATTTTGTTTTGAAGTAAAGAAAAAGAGAGTATATTATATTATTCAACGATGCAATCAAGTTGTTAACTGTTATGAGTCTGTAATCAAGTTATCTGTACATCTATATGCAATTGCATAGCACTTCTACTTGAAATGGTTTCTCCTCCTGACATTATTTTCTTTCTTCAAAGAAAGGGCACTAAGGACAATGCTTAACTGCAAAGCCTTTTCGTATATGAGTTTGAGCCAAAGGAATTTCCTCGTCAGGACCAAGTTTTTCATGAATATATCCCTGCACAATAAAAAAATCAATTAAATATGCAATATATGATGATGAAAATATATCATGCTCACATGTAAATTGGAAATTTTACAGTGAGGAACATGAAATTGACATCAAAAGGACAATTTTACACTCACGAGCACAGATAAATTCTGGAGAGGTTGTATGTTTGCAGAAACCAAATTTGCAGCCTGCAATTAGTAAAACATGAAGAAGCAAAGTTAGATTCAAAACCTAATAAGAAAAGATAAATAATTGTGTATGATTTATTTAGAAGATGAAATTATCCGGCGGTAAATTTTTCAGGTCATTACCTTATTCAATATCCTCAAGCACATTCTCAACCACATAAAGAAAAAATCTATTAGAACTACCAAAATTAGTTATTGTTAGCGTACTTTCATTAGTACATATCAAGATTTTCCCTATTCTCACCCCCCATCCCTCCATTCCTCTAAACCAGCACAGTAATATTTAATATGTGCATAAAGTTAGAAAGTTCACCACAAGCTTATGCTATGTGCGCTACTTAACATTGTATAACCAAGTAGATTGGTCCTCGCATCAAATGAGAAAATAAATGTTTCTATGAACATTTTTGAATTGACAAAATAACACGATCCTAATCTTTTAGTAAAAGGTTAGTGAATCATTAGCACATTAGTTTCTAGACATGATACTAAAGAGACGAAATTGTCTCGAAGATTACTGGGGAAGAGTCATAAGTTGAATCACTTTTATCTTACATTAAGTAACCTCTGCTAGGAAATGCCTGAAGTGGGAAGATATATCGATCCAAAGAGTTCGTTCGAAAACAAAAATAGTTACTGATAGCACAAGTGTACTTCTCTAAACCTAATAACATAATTTCCAAACAGAGATATTTAACCAGCAATTGTTCACCTGGTAATTGAGAGCCCTTTTCTGAAGATCTTTTGGCAACAATGGATGCTGAGGATACTTCTCTTCTAGATACTGCACAATTGTGGTATCCAGTCAACAACAATATCTTTTCGTAGTAAGGTTGAATTATACCAAATTCACCATTAAATAATTCTATATTGCTATAATCAATGAAGAAATTCACCAGTAATATAGCAAAAGAGTCTGCAACTACAAAGTCACCATCAACAAGTACTGGCACATAGCCAAGTGGATTAAGCTTCAAAAACTCTACAATCCCGACAAGAAGAAAAGTGTGAAAAAAATTCATATGATAACAATCAACTGAAGCAACATATATCTTAGTAATACAGATAACAAGGTTATGTAAACATTTATCCATAGTTGAAAAGAAAAACAACGAGGGGGAGAGGAGAAAGAGTCAAACCTGGAGATTTTTGGTCCCCTTTGAGCAAGTTAATTGCAATATACTCATAATCTAACCCTGTTAATTCAATTTGAGGTTGTATTTGTTTCATTAATTATCAAAAAAATTAATAAAATAAATTTAATAAATTAAGCAAAAACAAATCAAGAATTCAAATTAATGAAGAAAAAATCGAGACCTTTTAATTTGAGAGCGATTCGAACGCGGCAAGAACAAGAGCTCCGCCAGTTGGAATAGAGCTTCAGCTTCTTTGAAACCTCACCAGTTCCACTTGCCTAAATATAATTACAAAATGTCAAATTCCATTAACACAAAATTAAAGCTAAAACCAGATTAAAAAAAAAATCACCATTATCGGAGAAAAAAGCGATTGTAAACTCTGGATTAATGGGGGATTTTGTTTTTTCATAAATTCCTACATTCTAAATCATCATCCCATTGACGTCGGCTGGTACGTGGTTTCAGCCGGCAGTAGCTGATTGGTTGTTACTTTATTAAAGTTGTTCAAAGATTTCACATGTACAAAAGTTAAAAAATGACTTCATCTCAATAGTTAAATAAAATTTTAAGTTATGGTGTTATTTAAATTATATAATTATGATTGAGATTAATTTATTAGAAATATTAAGAGGATTTGTCTAGTTGAAAATTAAAATTATGAAAAATATTTTACTTTTTACATTTCGAAAACTTGAGAATTGTATAATTGATTAATGGTAGGAGTTATTAAGTTAATATTGTATTTTATAATTTTAGATGTTTAATTTATATTATTTTAATTATTAAATAATTTTTAAAATGATTAAAAATTTAAAATAATATTATAAATAAGAAAACACTTTTTTAGTCTAAACTTAAACTCGTAAAGTTTGAAATTTCTATTCCACGCTTTATGTTTTTTAGAACACTGTCCATATTTATCCACTTATTATTTAATGTTACATGAGCGCCACATAAATTGAAATTATAATTTCAATTAAACTAGATAGCATTACTCTTTGAAATTACTAGTGCTTTAAAACATTTTATGATATGATATGTTTTACATTCAAGTCATACATAATAATAATAAAATTATTATATTATATCCGAAACCTAAAACATATGTATAGAAGTTACAACGTAGGTCAAGGCGCCAGGTGAGTCGATCTGAGCATTTAATACCCGAAATCACCCATTATACTTCGAGTATTTGAATTGAATCATTCGAATTCTTGTAAATAGTGGAATCAAACTCGAACCCGAATCGTTGGTTCCGATTCAATTTCGATTCTATCCATATATGTATGTTTGGGAGAGATTAAAATTAATTTTTTGTTATATTTTAATAAAAATTGATGAGGTGTGCGGTGGCAAAGTTATGGGGAATATAAAATGTGTGTTCAAAATTAATTATTGACTTTTAACTAAAATTAAAATTAAAATTAAATTTTTACCAAACAGGGGCTTGATAAATATTTTCATGTATGTCATCTCACCTTGGAGCAAAATATGTTTTAATACCTTCACTTGCTTTCCTCTTTCTTGTCTTTGTTTTTCTAATTTTATATTGATTTCTTGAATATCCTCTTCTATTTCCTCTCCTTGAATTTCTAAATCTATATAATTGTTCTTAAATGTACAATCATGAACCTCTTTAACATCTTGTTTTCTTTTAGATAAATCCCAAATAATACCTTGAAATTTAAATCGAACATCAAAATAAACTTTCTTCCATTGAGATACTTGACCTTTAATTCCAGCAAGATGATACTTCATTCTGTTAATTCCACCACTTTTAAAGCTATTGTTGCAATAAAGACATGTGAAATGAGTTTTATCATCAATATCATGAGTTGAAGAAACATGTTCCCATGGAAGATCAGTCTTTGCACAGCTAATTGTGTGGAACCTATAGAATGACTTTCCGAAGATTGAGTATAGAAATCCATCATAAATAAAAGCAATTAAAAGTATTATAGTTAAATAAGTATTAAATATTAATACAATTTAAAAATATTGACGACAATTCCAAAACTTTAAGGATCAGCCAATTTGAATCACAGGTGCAGCAAAACATTTTTTATAATCTGCTTCTGTTTCTACATATGAATTCTTATTTTAAATTGTTGTCCTATCATTTACTGCCACAATCAATTATCATTTTTAGCTAAGCCCCACTTGCTAAAAGGTTGAACCCCAACTTTAAGGGCCCCCACCGACCTTGTCCTGGGCCATCGTGGAGGAGGTAAATCGCAGGATGTGCCTCCCAGGAGTCAGGGTGGAGAGCACATGGATAGGCCAAGGCTGTTAACCCATATGGTAACTCCCGCTTGCAACAAAGTCAATTCCACCTTGCGGGGAATCGAACTCTGCACACTGTCGCGCTGAACCCTATCCGCCCTCCCCTTTGCCACTGGGAGATATGCCCTGGGGGCAGCTAAGCCCCACTTGCTAGCTCATATATAAGTTGGTATTTTAAGCCAAGTGGATCAAACCATCTAAAAAAAAAAGTAAAAATATGATTAATTCCACCAATTCATTAACATATATAAGAAAAACAAACAACAAAATCCAACAAAATTTCAAAAATTTGAAATTAGATATGAAAATATCAAAAATTAAAATAAAATAAAAATTCAACATATTATTCGACACCTACAAAGTAGGAAACAAAAAAATCTTATCCCTAAATTAATTGAATTTTCAATTTTGGAGGAAAATATAAAATTTTATAGAAAAAAATGAAACACAATGAAAAAAATCAAGGCGTTTAAAATAAAACTTGATAATATTGAAGCACAAACCTTTGAAACCAATATGCACGCACATGACCAGCCAAGAATCAAGCAAAGATAACAATATGAGAAGAGAGAGTATGGAAGTTGGAAGGTGAAAAGAAAAGTGAAAAAACAAGGTTCTCTTCATTTGAGATTTGAGATTCAAGGCTTTAATGATTTAATTCTAACCCTTTAAACCGGGGGCGGGTCGCGAGTCTTAAATAAACATGCCAATTTGACAGCTGTTTAGAAAGGTTTTAATTAGAGGGTTTAGGAGACTAATCGGATCGGATTTGGGCTCGTTCTTGATTTTTCTGGTTCAACCGGTCGAGCCGATTCGATTTTCAAAACATTGCATTTCAATACATATACCTGACACACTACTACTCAAAAATATTGTGTAAAAGAGAAAATTCAGTTAGAAAATCTTCAAGAAGCAAAATAATTGATAATAAAAACCACAAAAATAGGAGAAAATTAAAACTTCAAAAATTAAATTATAATTTTAGAATAAATTATTTTTTCTTAATTGATTTATAAGCGAGGCATACTAAAGTATATAATTTAATTATGAACAATGTCTAAATTCTTCTATTCTTAAAACAAACTGACAAAAAAAATATTAATTAGATACATCATTATATAGTGTCAAGAAATTACAGTCTTCATATTGAACTCGCTCTATTTGAAATTAAAAAAAAAAGAATAAAATTATATTTAAAAGGAGAATCACGAACTCAAGACAACAAAAAAGCTATACCGCAACCCAATCAATGAATATATTAAGCTCAATTGCCATGTATTATTAAAAAAATTAAAAGTCACTTAAATTTTTAAACAATGCAAGAAAGTAAAAGCTTGAATTGCAGAAAACGAGTTCTTTCATTCATCAACTTATACCATAATATAACTTGAATTTTTCGATTCATAAAAAGTTTAAATTGTAAAGATTAACATATAATAACTACAGACAAAAAAAAAATGAGAATGAATCGATCGTTCAAGTATTGCAAATTGCATGTTAAAGTGGTTGGTAAAGGCAACAATCTAATATGAGGATAGATGTAAAAAAAGTAGGAGCCAGTGTTGATTTCTTAGGATTAGATCTAGAGTTTTGAACTAATTATCACCCAAAATAGGATTTTTAGGTTTTATATTTTTTTTACCCAACTATAAATTGTATTTAATGAAAATAAATTTCACTCAAGTACTCACGATTCTGGTTTAGGAATCAAGAACCGAATTGGACCCAATTGGTTAACTATTTACAACACCACTGATATCAATATCTATTTGAATAATCATGTATTATTTAGCATAATATAAATCATAAGTGTTTTATTATCAGTTCTTCTTCTGCCACGCTAAATGCAATCCCGGTGTTAGCATACCAGAATTTCCCTGACGGAGCAGGGCCATCTGGAGGAACTGATAGTAAGAAGAAGAAGAAGAAGAAGCGATCAAACGGGCCCTTGGAAGGGACAAGGTTTTGCACTTTCCACTAACTCTATGGGCATGACACCAGCGAGTGCCGGGACGCTAATCGACGCCCGGATTGAAGCAACCCCTATCCCTCCAGAAGGAGCGAATATCCTGGCAGATCCGCCTCCCCGAACAGGGAAGAGAGAGGGCACAGAGAGCAATCACCCCGGAGAGGAGAATCAAGGGACCATGGATAGTCCAGACAGAGAGATCAGACCCCATTTTCTGGGAGCCAAGTCATCAGGAAGATCGACACAATCATTGGGGAACCTCACATCGGTGGCAACACCAAGAACGCCCAAAGGAATTACATAAGGGAAGCAAAGGACCCGCCAGTGCTTACCTACATTGTCAACAAGTTCCAAGCGGCCAATAGGATGGCCCCAATCACCTTTTCCAAGGAAGATGCAGAAGGAGTTCACCACCCCCATTGTGACGCATTAGTTTTGAGAGCCGTAGTGACCAGAAACAGGCTCAAACACATGCTTGTTGACAATAGCAGTTTGGTGAATATACTATTCGGCTCCACCTTCGACAAAATGTAAATTGAACATGGGTTGATCCTGATGACCGATCCGCTGTTCGAATTTACTGGAGACAGCATCGTCCCACGAGGATGGATAACTTTACCCTTTGAGATGAGTTTAGCTCCTCTAGTGGCCCAACACTTCATGGAATTCTTGGTAGTCGGCCACAGATCAACCTACCATGGAGTATTGGGAAGACCTGCCTTGAAAGATCTTTGGGCTGTCACCTCCATCGACTACTTGTATATGAAATTCCCAATTGAACATGGGATTGCCACGGTATGAGGCGACCAGATGGGCTCCAGGGTATGTTATTACTCTTTGCGAAAATCGGAGCCTCGAACTGTTAACGTGATCATAACTGAAGTTGCCAATGAACCCAATGTAGACGTGGAAATGATTGACGCCCCTGAACAAGGGCATACCTCCGAACAGGAGGAAGACGTCGACATGAAAGAGGCCCCTGAAGAAGGGCACCCTCTTGATGAATTAGACCCCCAGATTATTCACTCCGAGCCAAAGCCGACCCCAATGGAAGAACTTGAAACCTTCTTCGCCAACCCAAAGGACCCCAGTCAGGTCTTGTGAATAGGAAAGGCGCTGCCCCCGAAGCAAAAGAAGAAATGGTGAGCTTTCTGAAAAGGAACTTGGGTGTCTTCTCTTGGAAGCATGAAGACATGGTGGAAATAGATCCAAGG